GCTTATTGATCTTCGAGTTTGTTTACCATCCACATGCGATATCCAGATCTTCTAGAGTCTTCTTACCGGTGGTACAGCGAAGGACCAGAAGGACTAGACACATGATACTGGCTACTAACTATTGTCCAATCAGAGAAAGTGATTTTAGCTGTCATAAGTTGGAAAGAATATTCAAGAAGATTTTTTAGCTGAATTAGCAACAGAAACCAATGATGAACCAATAAGATAAACGGAAATAGTCGATTACGTAATACTACGTTACATTATACTATACAATTCAATATTTGAAAGTGATTATAAATCAGTTGTCTGGGTAAATACCAGTGGATCAGATAAAACCATATTGACGATAACAATCAGAATGATAAATAATCAAAATTCAGAACATACACATATGTGGTAACACAATAGAAAATTGTTACTACCGTAAACTAAGGCTAATCACCGTTTTTTTCTACTATACATAAATTAGGTTTGAGTTGCCTGGTAGCAAAATATTTAGTGAATCGAAGTAAAGTTGGTTTCCCCGTTTATTCCTTGATTCGATTAGTTGTTGGCCAAAAGCGTTGACCAGGGACTGGGGATCTTTGAGTTTCAGGCTTGTTCCGAGAAGCGAATATGTGCCTGTCTTTCTGTCGTCCTAATCAACTTGCTGTAGCTTGTACATGTGTGGGTTTGTAAACAAAACTGGAGTTGACTTCAAATGAGTACCTGTTCACTTTCGATCGACAAAGTATACGACTAGGGATGATGTTCCAGTTTGCAAGTTTAGGAGTGTGTTCCAGCGGCCGAGGACCGAACCCCAGACTGAGTGCATGGTTGGCTACCAGTGAATACATTAAGACATATTAGAATAATATCTATTGAACTAAGAACAGTGATAACACTGATGATGATGATGCTCAAAATGATGATGAAAATCAATGATAAGCTGTCAAGAATGTTCATGGAAAAGAAACGAATATTCAACATTGTTGTATTGCGTGACTTAAAAGATAAATTTATTCTTATCTTTGAATATATTTACCATGATATATGGGGAAAACAGATTCGTAGGTTAAATGAATCATTCATAAACACGATAATAATAATACTAATATTTAACATGAAAAAAGAAGATTTAATTGTGTATAATTTATTAATTAATCTATTGATGTTTTTATAATGAATCTGATAGAATAATATACGTATATTTGAATTATAGGATTTGTTAGGATTCGGATTAATTTCATTTTGGTGACTTTCTTCACGAACCAATATCAATTAGAGATATTTCACCGAAAACCACAAAAAGGGTGTTCTGTACAGCTGTTCCGTCCTTGTGGTTTAAGACTCTACATTAGTGCACATACACATTATACCTCGGGAAAGCATCAAACCCTGGACGATACGATATTGAACTCCACCAGTTGCTGCAACAGTCTAAGTCACTATTCTTTGGTATTTCCACAAAGCAGCCTTCCTTCCGGACGTTTTGCAACAATGGAGCCAGCACATCCACTGCAGTCTCTGGGTTCCCTTTCAGTGCTTCCGGAGGAATTTGTCTAGTCCTGCTATCTTCCTAGATTTCCTAAATTGACTGCATTCGAGATTTCTGTTTTTGTTAGAAGATTGCTGACCACTTACGGACGGTTCTATGCTTGCTTTTGGTGGTGGCGGTATTTTCGCGCGAATTGCAGGTGATGGTCGATTCAAAAGTCGTTTTATTTGTTTCTCCTCTTTGGTTATCAGGTTCACTTAACAACCTTTTATTGGTTTTATCATCTGGGTCAATTACTTCCTAGATAGAGACCTGGTTATCGGAAATAATGTCCTGAGGTCTTTTTTACATGGGGCTACCTGTTCTACTTCAGATTTCAGTGTATCGCATAATTGTTTTTTTCCTTCCTGGTACTCTTCTTCAACTCTTTCTTGACTCAGTGCAGTGTACATTGAACTCAGCTTCTCCTTCTGTTATGCATCTTTGTACTGATTTATCTTCTTTCACCATCTTTCTCTCCTCCCTTCCATTAGCTCCTAAAAGGTGTCTGTTGAGAGTCATTCCTTGTCTTGTCTCTTCCTTCTTCCTAAAACAGTTGTACACGGTTCCATGAGCATCACTTTTACAGAGTTAGCACTAGTTTTCTTTTACATAGGTTTCCTCGTTGATAACACGTTGCGTTTCCGACTTTGCTCTGATCTGACCTGTAGTGATGATAGGTATTCCTTGTATTTTTGTCCTTCAGTTTCAGAATGCTGAACTTGAATTGTGGCCTGTCTCTAACTGTTTTGGAGGATTTCAGCTTGATTTTGAAGGTTCCTCGAACCAGATGATGGTCTGAGACCACATCTGCTCCCCTTCTTGACAATGTCTCCAGCAGGCTGCGTCTCCACTTTCTTTCGCAACACTGAGATGAAATCTGCCTGGTTTGTTGTGTTTCCATCAGGCGAAACCCATGTTGCTTTTTGTATAACCTTGTGCTAGTACACGGTGCCTGCGATCACCGAATCACTGTAAACGCATATGACTGCGAATAATTCTCCTTTCTCATTCACTTCTCTGATAGCCTCTATCCATGATGAGTTCTCTTCTTGTATTATCTGCTCCTAGTTTGTAATTCATATCGCCCATGAGTATTTGCTGCCACTATTTGGGATGTTGTCCAATACCTTTTGTAGTTGTCTGTGAAAATTTTCCTTCTGCTCTTGTTCTGCATTATTTGTAGCAATGAGAGTGGCAGTGGATGATTGTAACCTTCCTTTTAAGTTAGATCTTTCTGTCATGATCCTATATGAAATTAGTTCCCACTGCTTCAGGGCTCAGGCTGTCACTGGTGACATCATTATATCCACTCACTGCCTCAGTGTGCTCATGCTTGTCGTCTAGGTGGCCGGAGTAGATTATTGACTCTTCAGTTGACAATTTTTTAAAATCCGTATCTATTATATCTATTGTCGCAGATACTAAGAACCTCTAGGCCATATCTGTGCATGTCGTTGGCTGTCTATGCAGCCTTTCCAGCTTCGTACGTAGTACGGACATTCCACATCCCCATTCTTATTTTTGCTTTCTTCTAGAGAAGACACATAGGTTGATTGGCTTATCGAAAGTGGGGTTTCCCCAGCCCGCTTCACTTCACCTCTCCGACTCTAGCGAACAATAAATTGTACTAGTAGGGTACAGCAGGTTGAAGGTGAGGCAGTAACTCTTCGAAGAATACACTGCGAAGTGGTAGCACCATGTCAGGAATTGGCATAAGTTAGAATTCAGTGGCTGGCTATTGGATTAGGTTTGAGTAGTGGCTTAGTGGTCTCCGATCTCGCCTGGTAACGAGAAGAACCTGGTTTCGAACCCTGATGGTGGGTCCGTACTGCTAGAGAGTCTGAAACTAGAAAGAAATGGCTGCCCAAAACTCTCCGTCGGGTTTTCTAATGGTTCTTTAAGTAGTGTCATCTCATGATGAAATTCCCTGACCAGTTAAATTTTTGGTATTTTTAATACACTTTCGTGTGAGTTGACGTATCTGTAACAGTTTGAGTGGTTTTGTTTGGTATGGCCACAACTCCGAATCCCTTTCTCCCGGCTTGGCACCATCAAATTATCTAGTACAGTCCTACAGGAGGTCAGTCAAAAGTCAATTGGCTCAGTGATCATAACTCTGACTGTAGCATTGGTAGGCTCGGGAGTGACATGAGTTTCTTTAAGATTGCAGATACATCTTGCTGACAAGTGCCGACAAGCACGAAACTTTGGACCAAGGCTACCCCTGTATTGCCTAAAAACCGTTTAGTGAATTTAACCCCGCTAAGATTCAGTATTATATTTCCTTCTTCCATCGCTTACAGAGATGAGTCGCATAAAAAACCTAGTTATCAGATAACATCCAGCTCCATTGCATCTATTGACTGATGTGATGAATAAATTATGTCAATTCAGTTTGTAATCAACCGTAAAAGTAGAAGAATATATAAACAAGCCTTTTGAATCGGTTAAATCAATACCCTGCAAAAACCTTTTTGCCGAAAAACATTTAAGTAGTGATAACTAACGAGGCTGTTATCATTCATCACTTAATGTATTCATCTAATGAGGCTAAAAGATCAAATTTCATTCGAAAATAGGATTTTCCTTAGTTATGCTTCATTGAGGCAATCATTTCGACTGATCTTATCAAAAATCAATGACCGGTGAACTAATCAACGTGGTGTTTTTCTCATTATATGTATATCCAAACATAAAAGGGAGTACACGTTAAGGTGTTGTCTCTTTGAAAATGAATTAGGACCGTACAGAAGAAGTGTTTATATCCACCAGACGTATCAGTAAACTTAGCCTCCAAATAACCAATGTTGTATAAAGCCTCAAAAGGACTCTAGTGGGCAGCTGCCAGCAATACAAGAATAATAAACATTCAGTAAATAGTCTTTTATCTAAAAAACACAGAGAAGCTCTAAGAGAACTAAGAAGCAACGAAAGTTTAATTATTAGCAAACCGAATAAAGGTGATGGTATAGTTTTACTGGACAAAAGCGATTACATTGAGAAAATGGAAATATTTTGAGTGATAAAACTAAATTCCAATCGCTTGGTGTCTCCGAAGACCTCAATGTAAGAGCTGAGAAACTAAGGACTGACTCCCCCCAAAAAAACTGAACCGAATCGGAGTATTATCATCAACCACGTATGAGTCCATGAAACCTACGAGTACCAATACTCCACGTCTTCATGGTATACCAAAAGTGCACAAACCGGGTCTTCCTCTTCTCCATGTTTTAGATATGTATAACTCTCCATTTCACGGAACAGCGAAGTGGTTAGTTAAGATTCTGGGTCCTTTGCACAGAAAAATCGTGCAACATCGAATTAGTGTTGTGTTCGACTTTATTTCAAAAATATCCGAGACTATTGTGAGGTATAAATGCATGTTATCCATGGATGTATCATCACTATTCACTAACGTACCGCTTATGGAAACAGTTGATTATATTTGTCATGAAATCACCGATAGGCAATTAGACTTAGGAATCCCCTTGTGTAGCCTCAAAGAATTACTTCTTAAATGCACAATGAATGTTCACTTTGTCTTCAATAATTCATACTATCGACAAGTAGATGGAATAGCTATGGGTTCACCATTAGGCCCAATATTAGCTGACTTCTTTCTCGCAAAACTTGAAAACGGGAAATTGAAGGATACCATCAAGGAGTTGGATATGTATTACCGATATGTCGATGATACATTTATCTTAGCTGATGAGAATGTTAACACAGACGAATTGTTGCTGAAATTCAACAACATCCACCCTTCGCTTACCTTTACTTTTGAAGAGGAGCAGGAGAATAAACTACATTTCCTAGATGTCTTGCTAAGTAGGAGAGAAGATGGGTCACTTGAGAGAAGTGTGTACAGAAAAAGCACATTCACAGGGCAATACACACACTTCCTTAGTTACGTGCCCATTAAATATAAAAGGAATGTTGTAAAATGTCTCGCGAGCAGAGCAAGAAAGATATGTACGGATGACCTCTTACAAAAGGAATTTGAATATATTCACGATTCCTTGACGGAGATGGGCTATCCGAGTAGTTTCATAAAGAAACATATGAAACCATCAGAGAAAAAACCTGAGACTCTGACTGCACATAAGAAACCTCTATTTATTAAGTTACAATTTAATGGTGACTTATCAAGTGAGATTCTATTCCAAAGACTTTCAAGGAGTATACGTAGAACATTTTACGCAGCACACCTATGTTTGTCATTCTCTAGCCGACGAATGATTGGGACGCAAACGAAGGATAAGCTTGATAGTTTTGCCACATCTATGTGCATTTATCAATTCAACTGCACCTGCGGTGACAGTTATGTTGGGCGTACTACTAGACAGCTTAGCCAACGTGTTAGTGAACATCGCCCATCGTGGTTTGGCAAAGGACAGACAAAAACAATCCGTAGCTCAATTTTGTCACATTTAATTGATAGTGGTCATGTAGTCGAGAAAACGAAAGCCTTCAAAGTAATTCATCGTATCCCACCGAATCTTTCCAATAGACTTCGTATTCGTCTACTGCACACAGCTGAGGCGATAGGCATTCGAACTATTAAACCTAAACTATGCATTCAAAAGAAGTTCGTACAGCCATTATCCCTCCCTTGGCCTATTAAGACATAACCAACTAAAGACTTCTACACCACCCCTTGTTTATATTTTCAACCCCTTTCTTATCATCCCTTAATCTTATCTTCATTATAAACGTGTTTCATTTCCTTCCCTTACAATCTAACATTACGTAATCGGTTCATTTGTTTTTACTAGCCTTTATCGACTACTTCCACCTGAACAATTGTTTGTTTAATCATACTGTTTTTCATTATTCGTGTTATCACAGATTGCCTCATTTTTTCATCCTTATTATTGATAAGACCATTATTATTATTATTATCATTACTACTATTATGACTAATTGCACAATTTATATTCATCATCGTATTATCCTATACACAGAACACCATGATTGGTTTATATTTGAATTTTAATTTATAAACATATATATTTTGGAATTGTAATAAACGTAAAAGTAATGCTTAATAGATTATAAGATAAAATCTGTGCGATATATTAAGGATAGGTTAAACATGATGACCAGAATAAGGTAAGCGTCTGAGTACATAAGTTAGGCTTCCTAATGAGGATTCCAACGACTTCAGCATTATGCAACAAACGACCTCCTGAAATAAAATCAAGATTTCAATGAAGAAAGGAAGACGAAATTTGCAGTACAAAATGATATCATCATTCTATTTCACAGGTTCTCATCACCTGCAGACTACCTGAATCTCTACTTGCCTCTGAACTTGATACCGAACATCTCGTAGAGATTTCCAAGTCCTTCAAAATATTAAATAGACAAAGGACAGCAAAATTACTACGATTCGCCGAAGCAATCGCAATCAAACGACTGAAACCGGACTTATGTATACAGAAAGAGAGTATGATTAACCTCTCACTTTCTTGGTAACAGAATTTTGATTTTGATTAGCCATCTAATTCAGTGATCTCAACTCACTGAACAAATCTTAATCTCATCGACTGTAACCGCTTTTGTTTTTTGAGTTGCTATGTGAACCAACAAGCTAACACAGTTCTGTTATTCAATTGTTTCTGTTTTCTGTCTTACCCCTCCCCCTTCTTTTCAACTTTGAAAGCGTATAAATTAATGATGAAAACTTAAACTACAAAATTGTAATGCTTCCATTTTTGATGCGTCAAATTTGTAGTATCTCTTCTCTACTACCACTCAAACATTAAAGCATCTTATTAACATCTATAAAACCATTGTAATTTCAGGTAGTCTGCAGCTGATGAGAACCTGTGAAATATAATGATATCATTATATACTGCAAATTTCCTCTTCCTTTCTTTATCGGAATTTATTAAGGGAAAAACATGCGTGTTATACCTGTAGGGAATTAAATGAGGACGTTGTCGCCTTGTTCTGTCTGCGCCTGACTAATATGCCTATCTGCTTGTGGTACCTTCCGATTCAGTGAACCACGCAAATATCAAAAGACACAAGCTGGCCTGTGACTGCATATTGTAGTACAACAACCACGACAAAGAAACCTATGGTATTTATAAATTTTTCAACAATATAGACAGCTAACAGCATTTGAAATAATTGATCGTAACAGTCAATAACAAAGTGCGTGAGAAATGATGATATACCGTTTATGCGAGATGAATAGTCAATAACAAAGTGCGTGAGAAATGATGATATACCATTTATGCGAGATTAACAGCCGCTGAAATAATTGATCAGTAACAAAGTGCGTGGGATCCTATCAATGTGTGAAAAATTAAGATTATTCGCGATGCTATAGGTAATTGTTAAGGTCTTTTTATTGTCAACTTCGTGTTCTGGATTCACAAGATGATGTAGAATAGAGCTTTTGACCTTGTTTGTTGACTGCTTATCCGTTCGGAATTCCGAAGATGAATGCGCTTCGTTGTACACTGAATATAACTGCCTCCACGTGGATGCGTACTACTGAGGAGTCCCAAACTAGGACGAAACAGCTGTCCAATACTCCCAGGTTTTCCAGTGGTTCTCTAACTGATGTCAGCTCATGATTAAATCCTCCATACAACCAAACCAAATCCCTACAAAACCAATACTTGAAAACATTCAAACTATCAGATACATGCAGAAGAGGCAAAATATATAGTTTGTCTTTAAATTATGAATGCTAAATTGTGGTAGTTGCAAAGAGACGGTATACTTTGGCTGCACTCGACGCTCTTCTTTTACTGCATTGTGTAGTTATTTCACCGACGAACTAAAGTTTTACAAACTCTTTTTGAACCTGTGGGTACTATGTCTTGACTTGGCTTTAGATCCGTATTTTTTACAGTGAATTTCCCGGGGTAACCATTTTCATTCATTACTTGTTTACTAATACAAAGCTCCTCATTGAGGCATTCATTCGAACAGACTGCTCTTACTCTTTGAAGCAAACACTTTATTAGACTGCGCTTATATTTCAAGGATACAAAATTCAGAAAATGCGTAAACTCACCAGTTGATGTATGTTTTCTATTTATGTAACAACAGAAGACAAGGGCCAGGCAACAGATCGTTTTATTATGAAAATCAACACGTATTTATATATATTTCACATACATTATTATAGCTTATGCAAGTAGACAAGCGCAAGCTTCTGATTGGTTGTTTCGGGATTCCTCGAAAAATAGAGTTCTCTATCTGCAAATCATATTTTGCCACGTTAAGTCTGCTGTGATTGGTTGTTGAATCAGCCTTGCTCATATTTTCTCACGGCCTGCTCTCACCACACATACACTTATATTACCATACTGTTTTCTAGTCATTAGAACATCTTCTAAAAATGAAATCCCGGAGTTTCTTCTTTCAGACGGTAAAATCAATTGGAGGATGGACATAGTTAAATCTGTCAAGTGATTTTTTTTCGCTCCATCCTCATTTCTCATTATCAAAAATGTGTTATCCATCTGAAGACAAGAGAATTCTAGTTTACCAAATACACCTCTACCTCTGAAAGGAAAATATCAGTTAGAGTTGTTCTTATGGTGACCGCATAAGCACAACATCAATCTGCCTGCATTATTATTGCTCCCTTGGGTTCCTAGTAGAACATAGGGCTTCAACTGTACGTCTTCATTCGCTTCTGTCTTCTGCTGTACTTTTCACCTGCATCCATGTTAGTCCATGCTCTTTCAACTCCTCTTCACATGATCTCCTCCGTGTCACCCTCACACCGTCGACCCACTCGCCGCTTCCCTTTGGGGTTCCACTCGAGGGCTTGACGCGCGATGTCACCTCGCCAGATTACTAGCTTCCTAGTTTTCTAGCCGGTCCCAAGCCCGGATAAAGAGAGAGGGTTGGGGCGTGGTGCTAGCAACTCCACCCCCGTAAAACAACCAAATAGCTACAGAAACTTCAACGCGGAAAAATATTAAAAAATCTGCCTGCATAATTACTTGTTATTAAATAAAAAAATGAACATTCATCGTGCATTTGAAAATGAGCTCTTTCATAAAAGATATAGGAATGTCATCAAAATTGATGTTTTGTCCAATAAGTTCTATGCATAGTCTTCCCATTAGTGGTACATTGGTTATGAAAAAAGAAGATGCGTCAAATGATATCATCAATTTGTTGTTCAAATTTACGTCTTTCATCCTTTCAAGAAAATTTGAAGGTGCCTTTTTAACAAAAATTAGCAACCTACTCATCTTCTGTTTAAAAATCGTTAGAATTGATTTGAGAAGAGCTAAATAAACAGCTAGCGAGGTGATAAAGAGATTTTTTATCCCTTTTCGTTCCCATTGGAATATGCGGCTTCAAGCTAGAGGTCTGAAGTTTCGGTAGTGATGATGGTTATTTTTACGGGATAGGGTTGCTGGCCTCATCCCCAAACTTCCCTCTTTACTAGTTTTATTATTACTAGCTTAGCGAGGTAAAGGAGTAATTCAGCCGAGGATTGAGCCCCGGACCAAATGAGGCATGGTCGGTGAGCCTTCTACCGCTTTGCTACAGACGTATACATTCTATTCACCTATATGATGACAGAGCAATACTAAGTATGACTGAAAAGGAATGATGACCTGCGGATAGTTGTGCCTTACTGGTCATCTAGGAGGGCTCTAGAGTGATAATTCGGAGGCTGTTGGCTTGAATCTAACTGTGATTCAACTTTTGACTACACCCTTAACCCATACTCATAATAAGTCAATAATGACATTATACTATGGCACAGTCGTATAGATGCATCATTAGTTATTACATCTTCATCACAAACTAATATCAGTCGGAGACAGATCACTGAAAACCAGAGTGTACTGGACGGCTGCTCCGTCCTACTCTTTGACTTTTCACCAATGCAAAACCATGACACTACTATGTCTTGAAACCAGAAACATCAGCTTAGTGGACGAAACTCGTTGACCATTCAACCAAGCTGAGCTGGAATTAAATAACTTGTACATACTAACTTTTGTCGCTTCGTGATATAGTGCTACCTGTACTAATACATTCGGGGAACTTCCACTTCACCTTGAAATGTTGAATCCCATTAATCAATGATTTCTGTCTATTAACCTGAAGGTCCTGAGTTCAATGCCTGAAGAAGTCATGAGTGTACACTGGTGAAGAGTCCTAAACTAAGGCGAAACAGGTCGTTTCATAACGAAAATCTAACAGCTGAAAATAATCTGATATCCTAACATATCTGATAATCTGAAGCCTCCTTGGTTTACGCTAGATGCTCAAATAAGTAGAGTATTGTTGATATAAGGATACTTCAGTAAAGTACTACTGAATACATATATATATATATATATATATATATATATATATATATATAAAGTGTTTACATATGAGCTAATTCACTTGATTTCAATCATTGAGTTATAAATGCAAGCCGGACGTAACCACTTCACACCATAACACAGTTTCTAATCAGTAGTATAATTCTCTGGTGTCTTCATTGATAAGTATAAACAAAGCATTGAGAAGTGTGCGTGTGAGTGTGTGTATCAATCAACTTCTGTCTTTTTGAATTAAAGAGTATTACAAGTATTGAGGAAATACAATTCATGGATAGAGAAATAATTGCTTAGATTGTAATTGATAGTTGCATTTTTAAGACTTGTAAATTTAACTTGTGATTTATTCATTTACCCATATAAATAAAGTGCCCAAAGTAGTGCAATTTAGGAAGTATACAAAAATCACTTTTTAGGAAATAACAACTCTTGTTCGCATTCATTTAATACTTAAAGTGATTTGCTTTATTCCAAAACAGTTAAATATGATAATTGCATGAAATTCCCATCCATTTGATACATTATTGCATCTAGTTTGCTCAACATTAGATTACCAAAAACATAAAAATATGAGAAGATCAAACAGCCATTTATTGTACACTAATTACATAGTAAGTCCTTAT